TCAAACGAACAACTTTTAAGGACGTCCAGTAAGAAAGGTGTTGAACATAAACAGTGCCTCTTTCGGCTTGTCCTCTGGTACCTGGAGAAAAAAAAGCGAATTAGAACATCTTTTTGACTATAAAAAATGCATTACCATATGTCCGGCGCCTCGAATGGTCATAAAGGTGAGCTGTTTGTCGTAGAAGGTGGAGAAGCCGATCACCTCGTCGGCCATGATCAACGGATGGTACTCCACGCGAACTCGATAGCCGAGCTCCTCCACGAACCACTCGTCGCCGATAAAGTTGCACACTGAGTCAATGTCGCCGTTGTAGATGAGCACCCGTAGGCCGGCATCCACCATGTGCTTCACCTGCGTCTTCATGGAGTGCAGCTCGCGATGGTAGCCAATGTTGCTTCGACAGGGGAACCACTCCCAGGACTTCTCGGTGATGTGCAGTGCCTAAGTGAGGTGATGGTTTAGTAAATATGCCCACAACTACTATCACTGAATGTTACCTTTCGCGTGTCTGCCTTGTTGAGAAACTGCGCCAGGTAGTCCTGCGAGAGACAGGGCGGCGAGCTGCCCCCGGCGTAAAACTCCTCCGGGGCGATGTTCAGCGACTGGAGCAGCACCCCGTTCATAACCTGGTCGTAGCTGAGGAGGGTGCTATTGTGCTTTGGGTCGTGCAGACAGGCCCCGTAAATGTTGTACGGGTTAATCTTCNGACTGGAGCAGCACCCCGTTCATAACCTGGTCGTAGCTGAGGAGGGTGCTGTTGTGCTTTGGGTCGTGCAGACAGGTCCCGTAAATGTTGTACGGGTTGATCTTTGCCCGGTGCGAAGCAATGGTCGCCTTGAGGCGGGCCTGGCTGCAGTGGGTATCGTGAACGGCCGTCAGATCGCATCGGCGAGTGTCCGTCGAGCCCTTGCAGCAGGTCTTCACCAGTTCGTCCCAGTGGGTGGAGCCCATCATGCCGTGGTAGTAGTAGAAATGAAGGGCAGAATTGCCCAGCGTATGGCTGTCCAGGTAGGCGTTGCCCATAGCTACGCCCTTAAAGTGCTTCGGGAACTTGTTTTCCAGAAGCTTCATTGACAGCGTTGGAATGTAGATGCCTGAAAGATTGTAGCATTAGCTTTCATTCTTCACAATCTCTTTTTTGTCGTTACCTGCATAGCTCTCGCCGGTCNCTTGTTTTCCAGAAGCTTCATTGACAGCGTTGGAATGTAGATGCCTGAAAAATTGTAGCATTAGCTTTTATTCTTCACAATCTCTTTTTTTGCCGTTACCTGCATAGCTCTCGCCGGTCACGTAAAACTCATTCTCCGCAAAATGGGGAAACTTCTTGTAGAAGCTGTGGAGAGCGTCAAAGTTTAGCTGAGCAGTAGAAGAGTCATTCTGGTCGTAGTGACCGTCGGCTTTGTAGGAGAAGCCAACACCGGCGGGCGATTCAAGGAACAGCACATTGGCCTTCTGGTTCCAGGCGTAAGGATTCAGAGAAAGGCTGCCATTTCGAGACAGGCGAATGGGACCGAGCTCTGACAGGGCGCCCAGCATTGAGGAGCAACTGGGTAAAAAACATACATAAAAGTCAGTACACAAAGGTCAACAACCAGTCCTGATTATGATGATGAGGATCCTACCCTGGTCCGCCATTCATCCAGAGGACGACTGGGTCCTTCTCCGGGTGAGCGGTTTGCGATTCAAAGAGCCAGTAGTGCAGAAACTGGCCATTGCCAGCCTCGAGAAAACCTGAAAAGTGCTTGAAGTTGGTCTTGACGTTCAGACCGGGCAGAGAGGTCACCAGATCTGCCTGACCGTCTTCGGTGGGGGCCGACCAGGTGGGGCGACCCACCAGGGTGACGGAAAGAAGGCAGAGTAGAGAGAGCGACAGTCGAGCCATTCTGAGTGGTGCAAGTGCAACTCAAGTCGTGCCGTTCAAAAGATGTGCTGTTTACATTTATATGACGGTTACCTTAACCGGTAGGTTCAAGTGTGTCTGTGTCTGCACTGTACACACATACACTGCCATTGTAGGTGATAGTGCACCTGTGGTTTAGGTGCTTGAGAAGGAAAGAACGGTTACAGTAAGGCACACTGACGAATGGGGGTCTGATTGCTGGCAGACACTGTGAGAGACTTTTGCTGATAGTCGAATGCTCTCATTTTTTGTCTCCATTGAGTTTGAATTGAAAGCAATTAAAATGAGGATGCAAAAAGTACACAAAAACATTTTTTAAATTATTAATTTCAATTTTTGATTACTCTTGAATTAAAAAACATTTTAATTTTTACAAATTAGCCTAAAAGTTTAATTTTTTGCAAAAGTGATAAGTGAACTGTGCACTTTAAAATTTTATTTTATCATGTAGTGATAAAACTTTGGCAAAACACAGTAAAGTTACAATTAATTTTTAATTAAGGTATCTTTTCAAACTTGATGTTTGTGTAAAATAGGTCAATTTGCGGATAAGTTTTAAACGGTTGATGAGGATTTTCTAGTTATTAAACTTGCTTAATTAATTTGTATTAATGGACAAAATTTTTATTAAACTTTTGCATTTTTGAATATTTGTTGACTACAAAAATTATGTTGAATATTTTGACGCTAAATCTTGTATAAAAACTTAATTACTAAATCAATTTTGNGTATCTTTTCAAACTTGATGTTTGTGTAAAATAGGTCAATTTGCGGATAAGTTTTAAACGGTTGATGAGGATTTTCTAGTTATTAAACTTGCTTAATTAATTTGTATTAATGGACAAAATTTTTATTAAACTTTTGCATTTTTGAATATTTGTTGACTACAAAAATTATGTTGAATATTTTGACGCTAAATCTTGTATAAAAACTTAATTACTAAATCAATTTTGTAATTAATTAAAAATGTGGTTGGAAAACTCCTAAACTTAACATTGTCAATCTTTTCAAGTGCTTCAATTTAATTTGCCTCATCGCTTAATTTTTAACTTTGCAGTTTTAGTACATAAACTTTATTCTTTGTAAGGATGACAGTGATAAAAAGGCCAACTAGATATGATAATTTTTGCCGTTATCAGCCAGTTTTCGATAGTCCCAACATCCTATATTAAATTTTAAAATGCCCTAAACGCTTTCAATTTTCTTTTGTCATTCTGAAAGCAAAATCGGTAGCCATGCTGTTCAATAGAGTTTGGCTGTGCGTCTTCTTTGCCTTTTTCGGGCTCATTTCCTCTGAACTGCAGGAGATAACGCCTGATACCGGGCTGACAGAGGTGATTGAAGATTTGCATGATGAATTGCGTGAACTGCTCACCGAAGAGGAATGGAATGCTTTCAGCGATCGGTATTACGCCGAATACGATCTACTTGATGGATTGAACGTTAACTCGGTACGTACCTTTTCAATGATAATTTATCTGAACTAACCTTTTTTCCGAAACACACTTCTAGCTTCTGGGAATGCTTGGCAAGCCATATGCTGACAACAAGACCTGCCACATGTGCAACACCCTCATTGGGCTTGGTCGACAGATTATGACCAGCAAAGAAGTGCTCATGGGCCTGGTTTCGGGCGTTTGCAAGGACTCAGATTCGCTCTCCAAACGAGCTTGCACTGAACTTCTGGAGCGATTTGCCGACCCAGTTGTTTGGCTGTTTAAGAACACCAAACTGGCTACAGAAGAAATCTGCTCTCTGCTTGTGGGCCACGGTTGCTTGGGATTCCTCGAGTACAGAGGCAGCAATGCTTCGGTGAGTGATTAAGGAAAAAGGAATTCACGTGAACAAAAGTATTTTAACCGATAGTTTGTCCTCTTTTAGATCACCTGGGAGCTGCCTCTGCCAGCAAAAGCTGAGTACAAGCCAAAACCGGCCACTCCAGGTGTTGTGAAGAAGGTGCTCCACTTGACGGACATTCACCTTGACCTGTGGTACACCGTTGGAGCGCCGGCAAAGTGCAATGAGCCACTGTGCTGCCGCAGTACCAGTAACGGTAATTACGGATAACACGATAGTCTTTTTGAGCTGTAACCGAACAACAAATTACTGACACGTAGACACACTTCACAAGAACGTCTCTGCCGGTTTTTGGCACCAGGTGGAAGGAGACTGCGACTCACCGCTGAACTTTGTCATCGACTCTCTCAAGCAGATTGCCGCTCGTCATCCTGACATCTCGGCGGTTTACTGGACGGGTAAGTAGGGGAAAAAGCACCTTTTATGAGCAATTTTATAAACATATCCGTGATTACCAGGCGACAATGTACCCCACGATGTCTGGAACACCACCCAGCCAATCAATCTGCGCCACATTCACACCGTCTCCGGAATCGTCAGCGTGGCCTTCAACAACATCCCCGTCTTCCCGGTGTTGGGCAACCATGAGGTGCACCCAATCAACCTGTACATTCCTGAAGGTATCCAAATAGACTTCTATTTATGGTTTTCTAATTTTAATTTGTGATTTTTCCTTTTGCTAAACTACTAGCTGTCCGCACAAAGGACGCCAACCAGTCGATGACGTGGCTGTACAACACACTGACCGCCGAACACGACTACTGGGCCAAGTGGCTGGACACCGAGGAGATTCGCAAAACTTTCCACCGAGGTGGCTACTACTCGAAGATGTTCTCGCCCAGCTGGAAGGTCATTGTACTCAACTCGAACGTCGCTCAGAAGCAGAACTTTTGGATTCTCTACAATCCAGTCGATCCTGATGGACAGCTGGCGTGGCTCATTAGTGAGCTAGATCATGCTGAGAAAACTGGCGCTAAAGTGACCATTCTGGGTACAAATTTAAATAGCAAAAATTTGTTTTCACAGTACTAACTGTTTTTTGTTTTTGAAGGCCACGTTCCGCCCAGGCACGAAAACTACGACGCTTGGGTGCACAATTACATTCGAATTGTGGATCGCTTCCAGGACGTGATTGCCAGCACTTACTACGGACACACGCACAAAGACGAGGTGGTCGTCCTGTACAATCACGAGAAAAAACCCGTTTCTGTGTCCTACATCTCTGGGTCTCTGACAACGTTTTCCAATCTGAACCCACAGTACACCATCTTCGAAGTGGATTCAAACGTAAGAACCTGGCAGTGAAGTTCGATAGCACAAAGTTAACCCCTATTTTTTGTTGGCATTAGGGAACACCGCTGGACTCCACTGTCTACCTGACTGACATGGACGAGGCAAATGCCCGTCACAAGCACGACCCGCACGCCCGTCCAGTGTGGAGGGAGGAGTACCACCCGAGAAAGTCCTACCACCTGGCTGACATGTCGCCCAAGTCCTGGGACGCCTTCCTCACCGCCGCCGCCACCGACCTTGACCTGGCCTTCCTCTACGCCAACCACTACCACCGCTACAGTAAAGAGTTCAGTGCACACGAGCCGAAAAGCATCGAGCAGGTCAAACGAATGCTTCAGGACGTCAAGCGATACAGTCCATTCATGCACTTGGAGAACAATGATGGCGATGATCAGTCCTAATTGACCTGGCCAACATGCTTCAGCAGCCTGAGCTCTTTTAATTAACAAGCTATTGTAAACTTTAATTGACATTACTGTCTATTAACCAGTAAGTAAACCAATTTTACTTTTTTTGTGTATTAGCTTCATCTACATTGTCAATAAAAAATAATACAAAAGTGTCGTCAATTAATTATTACTACAAAAAAAATTACTAACAGTCAGTTTTCACAAAAGCAATCGTTTATCACTTTTTAAGCAAACGCATTTTTTGCAAAAAATAATGGCCAATAGTTTCAGTATTCAATATTGTGGTAGTGCACCATTATTTTTTACTAATTAATTATTATTTTTGCATATTTTTGTATTTGAATAATGACTTTTGAAAGTGGCTATTTTTGTAAATAAAATGAAAAAAATGTTTTGTAAACTTAAAAAACATTTGCAATGATATTCATCTAAAATAAAATTTTGCGTTTTTAAATAAAAAACTAAATTAAAGTTTGGTTTTTGTTTAAAAAAATTATATTTAATAAATTTTGATTATTTATTTTAGAATCAATTATGCCTTTATTAATTTGTGTTGTAAAAAGCAATAATTTTTTATTTTACAAATTGATTTTAGTTTTAAAATTTGCTCAATGAACCAAAACTTATTGAGTTTTAGTTTTGCATCATTTACTTTTTGCAAGTATTTAGCGTTTTATTAATTTATTTAGTTGTTTAACGCTATTGTTATATTTTAAACATTTTTGTTTATTTTATTTTTTGTTCAAATTTAGTTTTCACAAATACATTTTTTGTNAAATTGATTTTAGTTTTAAAATTTGCTCAATGAACCAAAACTTATTGAGTTTTAGTTTTGCATCATTTACTTTTTGCAAGTATTTAGCGTTTTATTAATTTATTTAGTTGTTTAACGCTATTGTTATATTTTAAACATTTTTGTTTATTTTATTTTTTGTTCAAATTTAGTTTTCACAAATACATTTTTTGCTAAAATAAAACTATAATTTAAATTTTTAGTTGTAAAAAACTATTTTAAAATAAAATCTAACATTTTTACTTGTTCTAACCATTCAAAAACCATTAGAATTTCAATTAAGGGTCATTTTAAGTAATAGTGCATTACTTCAAAATATTGTCGTGCTAATGATTCCTCAATTAAGTTTGACACAAACTTTATTAAAGTTTGCTGCAAACGATCGTATAAATGGTCACCAAAATGACAAATATCTACATTTATTTTGCATTTAAACTGATTTTTACATTGAAAATATTTTTAAATTTGTAAAAACAAAAAAAATATAAAAATAAAATTTTTAATATAAAAACTAAACGTAAAATAAAACTTAATTAATTTTTT